TTCCAACTTCTAGAAACGAACTTGGAGACAGCAAAAAGCGTTTAGGCATCACCTTGCACAGGAAAGGAACACGAGTGTCAAGATTTCTTAACACGGAGTGTCCGGGTACCTCAAAAGTTTTTGCTGCCCAGACCATGAGTCATCCTCCCTAGAGACAAAGCAGTGGGGAGTTTTGCAGCCTGCTGAGACATTCATTTGTAAGACACAAACCTGAACCCAGGACTCATTAATCCCACCCTATGAGTAGAAATGTTTCTCCTCCTTTCTCAAATACTGCTGCACCAAGAGAACCCATCTGCAAGTCATGGTCTTGCATGTGAAGAAATCGCAAGGGTCAGAAAAGCCAAGAAAACTATTGTTATATAATGGAACTGTTTACATGGTGCCTTACAGAGCAGCACAAGCAAAACTAGAGGTTCCTGCCCCATAGACCTTACAATATGAATATACCGTACATATCAACAAAGAGGTCTAGCAAAAAAAGAGGAGGAAAGGAAAAGAGCTAGAAGAAACAGAGATGTGCTGATAAATTGGCTTTGGGCAAACTGAGGTCAGGATTGGGCACAGACCAGAGGGGCACAGAATCAACAACAATGAATCTCCTTTAGAATGAAAGCGGGCCAAAGTAGAATGTATAATGTGTTTAGTTGCACAGTGAAGTGGTACATCATCAGGCTTCTCTCACACCTGAGTCCCAATTCTTAAGTGTCGGCTGGTACTGTAAAAGACCACCACCAACTGACTACACAGTGGTTTGTTAAAAAAACACAGTGGTCTTGGTTGTTGTTTTTTTAAAGAAAATAGAGATACAGAGCAGAGGATGAAATTTAAATGTACGGTCAAGGCCAATTCCATATTTCAACACCTGGCTGGCAAGAAAACCTTTCACACCCCTGAGAGTGGCCAGCCCTTCACACCAGGTGAGTGTGCAGAATGACATTCCCATTAGATGTTCAGCAAAGGAGCGAAAGAGGCCCCACATCTGCTTCTAAAGGAGAATGAAAGTGCAATACGACAATGGTTAGGATCACGAGCATGCTGAGCATGAAGTACTGCTGTCTTGCTTAAACCTTTGGCACTGGAACTGCAAGTCAAGATAGTCATAACAACCTCAGTATTGCCCCCAGTTGCTGGGGGAACGCAAGTGGGACATAACAAATATTTTATTCACTTATATTTGCTTTCCACCTGCCATAGAACCCAAGGCAGTGGTGGTTCCAAAACTAGTCACTCATTCAGGCATTGATCAGAATCAGATCTGCCTCACGCGTCTTTGGATCTTAGATCTCATACCCTGGTTACAGGCTTCTTATAGACATCTGGTTGGTCACTGTGATAGACAGGATACTGGACCAGATGAGACTTTGGTTTATTCAGAAAGGCTCTCCTTATGAACACCCTTTAGTTCCAATACTCTACAACAGGCTTCCTTAACCTCGGCCCTCCAGATGTTTTTGGCCTACAACTCCCATGATCCCTAGCTAGCAGGACCAGTGCTCAGGGATGCTGGGAATTGTAGTCTCAAAACATCTGGAGGGCCGAGGTTGAGGAAGCCTGCTCTACAATAACAAATCCAACTGCAATAATAACATATTGTCCTGTTTACCCCTGACCACATTTCTCTGCTTCTATTTTTAGACTATAGACCCCTTGAGAGAGCCAGTGTGGTGTAGTGGTTAAGAGCGGTGGACTCGTAATCTGGTGAACCGGGTTTGCTTCCCCGCTCCTCCACATGCAGCTGCTGGGTGACCTTGGGCCAGTCACACTTCTCTGAAGTCTCTCAGCCCCACTCACCTCACAGAGTGTTTGTTGTGGGGGAGGAAGGGAAAGGAGAATGTGAGCCGCTTTGAGACTCCTTTGGGTAGCGATAAAGCGGGTTATCAAATCCAAACTCTTCTTCTTCTTCTTCTTGAGGCAAGGGCTTATCAAACCTGTAGGAAGCTACCTGGTACCAAGAAACAGATCATTAGTCCACCTAGCTTAGAAAAGTCTGTACCAGCCTTTCTCAACCTGGTGCCCTCCAGTACGGGTTAGTCTACAACTCCCATCATCCCTAGCTATTGGTCATGCTGGCTGAGGCTGATGGGAATTGTAGTCCAAAACTTCAGGAGAACACCTGGCTTATTTCCCAGCCTCACAAGAAGCTATCAGGGATTAAACTTGGAACTTTTTTTCACGCAAAGCAAAGCTACAGCCCTTCCACATGAAGTCCCATATACATAGGTTATGCCATATAAATACATGAAACAAGCACTATAATGTGGGTGCCTGCTCTCGTTATTCTTCAAGCCAATACAGGCATCTCCCCCCCCCCACCCCCAACTACAGAATAAAGTTCAGAGAGAACAAGCATCCTGCTTACAAATATTTGTTTTGTTAGGAAGAAGAAGAAGAAAATGCTTGGCAAAGCCCCTCCAGGAGCAGTGATGTGGGAGGGTGGATAAGCCCACACGCAAGATCGGCTACTTAAGAGGGCCATCAGCTGTATAAGGTAAAGGTAAAGGGACCCCTGACCATTAGGTCCAGTCGTGACCGACTCCGGGGTTGTGGCGCTCATCTCGCTTTATTGGCCGAAGGAGCCGGCGTTCAGCTTCTGGGTCATGTGGCTGGCATGACTAAGCCACTTCTGGTGAACCAGAGCAGCGCACAGAAACGCCGTTTACCTTCCCGCGAGAGGGGTACCTATTTATCTACTTGCACTTTGATGTGCTTTCGAACTGCTAGGTTGGCAGGAGCAGGGACCGAGCAACGGTGGTTCTCAGAGCTCCAGCCCTGACTATACAACATTTGTATCTCACCTTTCAAGAACAAGTTTATTGGGGGGGGGGGGGGAGGTTGGTTTTCTTTTAGACAGACAGCAATTAAACCTATCTTCATTTAAGTTTGTCACTACTTGTGTTGCTATATCGTCACATCACATTCCAGTCTATGGATCAAGGAAGGTCTAAGCTCTGTTCGCCTCTACATAGTTCCATCCTTATTTTAGACGTTGTGATATACTGAAATGTTTAGCTGGTTATATACAGTGGACGCGCGGGTTGCAATTTGGCGCTTCTGCGCATGTGCAACCGCCGAAACCCGGAAGTAACCTGTTCTGGTACTTCCGGGTTTCGTAACCCCCCCCCAAAAAATGCAACCTGAAGCGGCTGTAACCTGAGGTTACACAATACAATGGCTGTATTGTGAGGTTGAAAACCAGATATCGTCCGCTGTTAAGAGGCAGAAACTGGAAACTTTTATCATGGAACTGTATATTTGAAAGGGACCCCAAGGGTCAACTAGTCCAACCTCCTGCAATGCATTACAGATGCTTTTAAAACTACAGTGTCAGACTAGATGAACACTCTTACTTGCAGGCAATGATTAGCTGCAGACAAACACCACTGCTGTAGAGAAAGGTGGAGGGGTTATGCCAATGAAAATGGGTGAAAAGAAGCAAGGACTTCAAAAGGCTCTGGAGGGACATGACCCCTTTGAGTGGGCACAAAAATCATTAGGTACCCAGAACAAATAACATTTCACCTGTTAGCTAGACCTTCACTCTCTAGTCAGAAGAGAATGAGGCACATTTTGATGCCGGCCAGTGAGGGATTCTGTGCAACTTGCAAAATCTACATCAACAGAAGCCATTTCAGTCAAAGATACCAGAGCTGCTAGCTTGTACGCAAGGATCAACTGCAGTGAGGCAGCTGCTATAGACAGCCATCAAACACCATCCTGTATCCATCTCTTATCCTTTCATGCTGGCAAAAAGCCAGGAGGTCCCAATGCTTACAGTAGCCCTTCTGAGGACACACATAGGAACTGGATATCTCACTGCATGGAAAAAGGCGTTATTGCTGGAATATTGTTATTTTTCCCTTAAAAAAGGAACACAGGATCCATTTAGAAAGCCTTTGCATATCTTTTCTTTTTTTAAAAAAAGAAAACAATTTCAAGGTGAAGGATGTTCCATCCAAATCATGCAGCTTCACCCATTCTCATCGACATCTCTCCCTTTGTATCCAGCAGGTCCCCAAACCAAAAAACTCCATCTTGTCCTTTGCATCCCTCTTAAAGAGACATGACTCCTACCTTGAAAGTCACCAGGTGGTGTAAGCAGCCATTTCTACAGCACCACAAATTTCTAAAGATTCTCTCTCTCACACACACACACACACACACAACAGCAACACCCCCCCCCCAAAAAAATCCTGATTGCATTGCCTCTTTTTAAGCTCTTGGCAATTGCCCTGATTTCGCAGGAGGAAACATTTTTTAAAAATCAATTTCCAAACCAGATATTTTTTCTCAGTTTGTACCATTGCACTCAGCCCTGCCAATCTCCCAAACGCTAATCAGAAAACATGCCTAAAAACTCTGTGGAAGGCCACTGCAGTGCACACAGTTTCAGATCTTGACAGAACAGTTCAATGTTCAAATCCAAAGTTCAATGCCTCTTAGCTGAACTCACTCCAAGTCCTGTTGTGACGATAAGATGGGAGAACAGCCCACACACATATGCACAACACTATGTATATCACTCTGTGCTCCATGCTGGAGAAAGCATATGCAGGGATAGCCAGCATGGTACCCTCCAGATGTTCTGAACTATAACTCCCAACTAACATGGATTAAGCTACAAAATGATGGGACTTGCAGTTTAGAACAGCTATGGCCAGGCACCATGCTGGCTACACTACGCAATCTAAGTAATAATGACTATTCCATCCAAATCCACTCCTAAAGCACACTGAATGCCCTTCAGCTGTCCCCTCTTGCTAACGATATAATCCTAAGCACACTTACTTGAATGCAAACGCTGTTACAAACAGTGACACTTACTTCCCAGTAAAGACGGTTGTCCGCCCCTTGCTCATTTTGTTGGGTATGCTTATAATGTACACTTAGGGGTTAATTTTGAGCGGGACTTTCCCCTGGAACCTATTTTCCTCGGCCCACTCCAGGCCTGAGGAATACGTGATGAAATTCAGTGCGTCTGAACATAACGGGGTGGGGTGGGGGGTGTAGCTCACTGGAAGAGCATCTGCTCTGCATGCAGAATGTCTCAGGTGCCATCCCTGAAGTCTCTGTATGAGGCTGGGAGTGTTTCCTGTCTGAAACTCTGGAGTATAACCAATACTGAACTGGATGGATCAAGGTGGAGTCTAAGGTGTCAATCCTGTATTCCTATACACACAAAGTACATTTTCCTCCTAAGTGAACGACCACAAACCCATCTAGACTTCTGAGATTATGGGGCAGTGCTTCCAGGTCAGAGGAGGCAATTTCAAGGCAGGTTTCCGAAATTTCCAAGTGTTTTAAAGAATGCAATAATTAGGTTTTGGAAAATTAAGCAAGCACCAGGGGATTGGTATTTTTATTTATTTACATATATGTTATATAACACAGATAAAGACTTACAGAAAGGATAGTATTTTAACGAACCTTTTCAAAATGAATGAAATTTAATTATTATTAATGAAATTAATAGTTTTCATCTATTGAAGAAAACAAACGTAAATTGTCTTCTCTGGAGTAGCAGTAATGTGTGTTAATTTAAAAGAGAACTTGCATAAGTTACCATATTGTTGATATCTAACAAGATAATGATCATTTTAAAAAAAAACATAAAACAAATAGGTTTGTTTGGAATGAGATTTAGTAGCAACAGAACATCTGCATGTGTGGTGGTCTTGCCCCAACATTTAAGTATTTTGCTATCCAGAGGATGGTCACATGAAATTAATGCTGGGATCAAAAACAGTGCCTATAAATACCAATTGTTCAAGCATACCCAAAATATATTGAGTCATGATTTCTTGCTGATGGACAGTCCCTAACTTGGTTATAGCACAGAACTGTAAACATCCCAAAATTCCATTGAACCAAGATTGAGCAAATAAGATCTGGCAGTCAGCACAACTGAAAATGCAGTCCTTGCGCTAGCTGTCCTGCACACACCTTTGCACCAGCCATTCGTGGCCTAGAATGTTTTGCAAAGCTTCACTTCTGGGTTAGCCAGAGGACATTTTTACATACCAACTGACAACTGACATAAGCTTACTAGACATCAGGCCATGTAGTGATAAAACTACAGCATTAACGAATTTCACTGACCCGAATAGTCACTAACAAAGATATTAACAGAATCAGAAACACCAGAGCAGGGGTAGGCAACCTAGGGGCCGGATCCAGCCCAATCGCCTTCTAAATTTGGCCCACGGACGGTCCGGGAATCAGCGTGTTTTTACATGAGTAGAAGGTGTGCTTTTATTTCAAATGCATCTCTGGGTTATTCGCGGGGCATAGGAATGCATTCATTTTTTTGTTCAAAATATAGGCTGGTCCCCCTACATGGTCTGAAGGACGGTGGACCGGCCCCCTGCTGAAAAAGGTTGCTGACCCCTGCACTAGAGGTTAGCATGGTCACCAGTTAGATGGCAAATGTAAATGGAGTTTTGGTTTTGCGGGCAGGTGAGAGCCAGTGGAGGGAGGGGAGCGACAGCAGGCAGAAACGCTGCATATCAGGAGGTTAGTAGAAAAATTCATGTGCTTTCTGTTCTATTTAAACATACCATCTTCTACAGATGTTGCTCCTCCTGCCTTTCCACATTCCTCTCCAACATCAAATCTGGGGTTTAATCATTAATAATCAGGAGACAGTAAGTTCAGAGAGAGAGAGAGAGAATAAGGGCAAGGGGGAAGAGAAGCAAAAGCAAAGCATGAACATTTGCAATTAAGAACTGCATACAGAACTGATGCTCAGGCAGAGCACGGAGTGTTCAGAAGCCACCAGGAAGTGCAGTTGCTTCATTTTTGGAAAAATCAGGTCAGCCTGAGAGACAATCTGATGCGCCATGCCAGCTGCATGAAGGCTGAATTTCAATGGCTACGGATAAGAGAGGAAGCAAGGTCAAGCAAAGGAATACGCCTGCTTAAACATTAAGCGTGCACACACTCATTCTTGCTCTCTTTAAAATTAAAACTCCTCAAAAAACCAAGCACCTGAGAAATATCAGGGCCCCATCTCTCATTTGTTACTACCACTGGTAATAACAGTGTGGCACATTCATCACCACACTAAAGGAAAGCACATCTAACCCCAGTTGTGTACAAGGAATTGGACAGTTCACTTTCACCACAGCTGACAGCTGTCAATACTTCACAAAGTCAGCACCAACCTCGTCTCTTGTCCCCACAAACAGCCTGGAACAGACATTAAGACAACCATTCTAGCAGTGAACTGTCCTACAAAACTCTTTCAAGCCATGAGATTCTCCTTAGCAGACAATGTCCACACCACAAGCAGAACAGACAATAGCCAAAACGTTTTTTACAGAAAAACCCCCCAAAACAGAAGCAATATAGGAATGACTAGAAGTTATAATGCTGGATGTAAACTTGCAAGTCATACTGGAATCTTCCTCATGCTGGATGCTGGGAACCCGTGTTAAGAAAAATAAATAAGGAAACCAGGGTTAAGAAAAATAAATAAGAGAAACACATAGCAGTTATCTTCGAGTTTGTGTCCAAACGAAAAAAGAACGAAAAAGCAGCACACATGATATGCTTCTATCACTCTTACAGGACATTGGTTCTGAGGAAGAGTCCTGTGTTACTTAGAAAGTTTACACACATCATCACGCCAGTGAAATTCATTCAGAATCCATCCCCAGTTCCACATTCACAACAGCTTAAAATGATTACATGATATGAAAAGGAAGCAATATTCAAAGATTATTAGCATCCCCACTTGAGCTGTAAACATGGATTCAAAAGACAGGTGGGGAATCCAGCCTTTTGCTACCCTCACTGTAAATCCAACAAGGTGGGGTTAAGGAGTAAACAATCTATTACTTGTGTACGTGCCGGTGGGCTTCCTGTCTTTCTCATGGCACACTATGAATCAGAGAACCCAGGAGCAACCAATTCCATCCAAAACATTGGTTGGTATATCCCAAAATTGCTGCCCAGTGCCTCTTACCTTCCTCACATCACTGTTGCCCCTGAGCTTCACACTCACCCTCCCATCAGCAGACCTTCGCTAGATACCTGAAAGTCTCCACCCAGTTCTGCATTATCTCAGGGTACACTCCCAGAACCCTATTCCCCAAAGCCACCACTGCCAGCCTTGCTTTTACCCGCCCAGTTGAATCTCTCTCCTTTCCTGCACCCAAACTGCACCAGGTACCCCTTAATCTGTGGAGCACCCCCTGCTCTCTCACACTAGTGTCCACTAGCTTATATGGTCAGCTGTCCAACACTCAGTGGCCCCTTCAAAGTCTGAAACTTAAGCTTCCCTACCTGACATCCATGGGCGCTGATTACAGTACTCCCTTCTCTACAACACTTCTCTACAACCCAGCGGGGAAACCCACTGCAAAAACACCACCCTCGCCGGACGTATTCCTGCTATTGCTCCAAGGGGGCACCTAGGATCCCGCAACCCCGCTCCCACCTCGCAGCCGCGCTAAACCCCGACCAGACCCCGTCATAGCTGTCAACGTTTCCCTTTTTAAAAGGGAAATTCCCTTATTCCGAATAGGATTCCTCGGAAGAAAAGGGAAAAGTTGACAGCTATGGACCCCGTGCACGCAGATACCACCTCCTCCTAAGATCCAACCCGCATCCCCCAGGGCTTGTTCTTGACCCCAGAGCCCCTTTATTGCGGCGGGTGCAGCTGCTCCTCTTCCAGCCTCCACAACTCCCCTTCTCCCACCACACCTTGCTGTCCCACGCACCATTATCACCCTGCTACAGCAGCAGCCTCTCTTCCCACGGACCCCTACCATCACCATCAAGGGGGAGCCCCCTCCCACTGCTTCGCACAGCAGGATCCTATGCAAATTTACTTGGAAGCGAACCCGCACAGCGTCCAGTGCGGGGGGGGGGGGGCGCACTCGCTAGAAGGGTGCATGTGTCAGGATCGGAGATTCGGAGCTCTCAGCGGGGACGCCTGTGCTGCCGGGGCCATATGGCCCTCCTTCCCCAGCTGCACCCCCTCGACGCCCCCCTCCCCAGCCCCCCGAAGGATGGAGCCCCATTTTCCCCTCGATTTCCACTGCACCGCCCCTTTTCCATCTTGCACGTTGCACCCCCCCCCGCCGCCTCCAGACCCTTTGCATGCTCCGCGCTGCATCCCCCCACCACGTTATCCCCAGGGTGTGGGGGGGGTCCTTACCCGCCTCCACACAGTCCCCCCGGCCCGGCTCGGTCCGGCTCTTGCAAGCTCCGCAGCAGGCAGCGTTCGGGGGCTCCAGGGCCACGTGACAGCGCCCAGCGCCCCCATAGGCTGGGCCCGGACCAGGGCTGCCGGGCAACGGTGAGCCCGCCCTCTTTCCCACCCTCCCTCTTTCCCTGCACCTGAGAGAGGACGAGTGCGCGAGGCAGAGCCGCCTTACGCCGGCAGCGCAGCCCGCCACGCAAGTGGCGTAGCGCGGCGTTCCCCGAGTCCCTGCGCAACAGCGGCACGGCCAACGGAATTGGCGTAAGATGCCGGCCGATGTTTTTTTTTTCTACCTGTGACGTCGCTCCTCCCCCCCCGCCCCGTTACGCACATTACGCACCCCGGCTCTTCTATCTCCCGTTCCGCGCAAAGTGCGTAAGTCTCCCCTTTCGGCGTCCCAGTTGCTGTACCTGAGGGGTTAGCGCGTGCGCAGAGCTGAGCAAAATGCGTAATGCTTTGGCTAGAATACGGAGCGCCTCCTCCTCCCCTCGGGGGCTTAACCAGAAAAGGGGCGGGGCTTATGGTCTTTTAAAAATATAGATGGGGGGGATGATTAAGGTGCGGTTGGGTAAGGTAAAGTAAAAAGGCGTTAGGCAGGTGCGGAAAGGCGAGAGTTTGGGGGAGAAAGAAGTGAGAGGAGGGCCCGGAGGCGGGTGAGGTAAAAAGTGGAGGAGAAAGACAGCATGATGGAATATAAATATAAAACTGCGTATAATTAGGGACGAAGGTCGAGGTTAAAAAAAAGAAAGGAGTGACAGAGCCAAAAGATGCTGCTGAGGGAGAAACGGCTGAAGCGGGGAGGGAAGCTGAGGTAAAAAGCCAAAGGGAGGAATGGAGTTCGGCGAAGGTCGGCGTGAGGGGAAAGGCAGGCTGAGGTAAAGGAGCGCGAAAAGTGTGGAGATGGGAGGCGTCGCGCGAGGCGGGGAGGCAAGGGGAGGGTGAAGCGGGAAAGGAGCAGCACGCGGCGATGAGGATGGGGGGGGCTAGAAATAAGGGGGAGCAAGTAAGTGGGTATAAGCGATGGCGGGCTCTGGGGGCGAGCCGAGGGGGTTTCGAAGGAGGCGGCGTCAGGCTGCTGGAGGGGGAAAGAGCGGAGGCGGGAAGGAGAGGCTGCCGCCCCTGGAGCTGGACAGGGTCTGAGAGAGAAAAGTGGGGAGGGGGTTTCATATTCGTTTTAACTATAACGTGGAAATATACAAGATACCTGCACTGCATTGTCAGACGGAAAGCGACACACCCTCAGGTGCTCTCATTGAGACACACACTGCCCAGGGGAAGGAAGAACTGAAATGGCCCTGAATAAGACTGCTTCCTATGTTCATAGCTGTCAACTTTCAGATTTGAAAATAAGGGATCAGCAGCCTCGAAAATAAGGGACCTGCAGCCTCACCTGTCCCAGGGACAGTCAACGGGATAGCTAACAATCCGGGAAAGCAGCGGGAAACAGCGCTGGAATAAGGGAATTTCCCGCCAAAAAAAGGGAGGGTTGACAGCTATGCCTATGTTATCCAGCTCCTTGAGCACCTGCATGCTAATATACATTTCCTGAATACTTGGTTCATATGCTGATAAAGTCCTCCTTTTATATTGGGGATGTGGTTAGGGACTAAAACATCAAACTCAGGTCACAAGGGAGAAACTTGGAAGGCACGCTTAGCAAATCCACACCGTGATCAACTCCCGTCTGGAGCTTAGCTGTCAACTTTTCCCTTTTTTAAAGGGAAATTCCCTTACTCCAAATAGGATTCCTCACAAGAATAGGGGAAAGTTGACAGCTATGGTCTGACCAATGTTCCCACTGTGGAAGGAGGTGTGGATCCAGAATTGGCCTCCACAGTCACTTACAGACTCATTGTTAAAACTGTGTTTATGGAAGACAATCTTACTCAGCTACGAGTGATCGCCAAATAAGCAGAATAGCTTTGCAATCCAATTCAAAGTGAAAAAATTATGCCAATGGCTAATAAACAAGCCCTGTGGTCTGTAGATAATAGAATCCTAAGTGTGTCTCATTGTAAAATAGAGTAACTAGCCCACCTCCTAAGCTGTTTATGGGGGACACCAAACTTTACTGAGGTTTGCAGAATGAAGCCATATTCTGCCCCAGACAGGTGAAGTGGCAGAGGGGAGAGAGAGGCACATTGCTTGATAGCAGCCCTGAGATAAGAGTTAAAATGTACAGACAGGTTGCTAAAAGAAGCTGGTTACTTTAAGGGGCTGGGCTTTGAGGACCAGCATAATTAATCCCTTTACCCCATCTATGATGCTCTTATCAACCAACTGCCCAAGAGTTTCAAAGAGGATTAACAAACACCTTTCAAGACTTGCTTTGTGAACAACTCTGGGGGTTTTTCTCTCTGACAGCTGCTTATTTTCTGTTCCATGCCTCATCTCCCTACTCATGTGTAGGCCTCTGCTCATAAGCAGGCTGCTGCAGCTGCTACTGTTAGCTGAGCAAGTGCTCCAGAGCTTGCAGTCTTCTGGGCAACCATTGTTTGGACAGATGCTTTTAAAATGCAGCCTCTCTGGGGCAGGGCCATTGTTTCAGTGGTTTACCTGAGGCAGCCTCCTTCCTACTTGCCCTCCCACCCATCATAGACCTATTCCTGTGACCTCAGCACTCCTGGGTCAAGCCAGAAGCATACATCTAAAAACTTAGTTTTCTTTCAACAGTATTCTGTTATACTTTTCTATGCATCCTGGCAGAGTAGAACTGCATAAATTAATGTACCTAAGATAGCCACGCCCATCATTTTCTACTCTGAGTAGGAGTACTAATGCAAGTATAAACTATTACCATACAGAGAGGTGAAGTAGGTTGCCTGTCGGACCAGAATGACAAAACTTCTTAACCCTGACTTTCCATTTCCCTAGAGTGGCAATACCTTCTTTGGTATTTATAACTAATACGATGAAACAATAACAGGAAGAGAGAGGCAGGTAAACACTGGATCACATGTGTTAAGACAGGACAGAACTGATGCTACAAAGGTCTGCAGCCACCAAATTCCTTTAGAAATGATGTATTCAAAAGTTTTAAAATCAGGACAGTTTCCTGCACCTGTAATTCGTATGTGAAACCCTCACAGACTGAATTGTTTCCTTTCAGGAAAGGTGTATTAACCAAAGGGCTGGTGCTTAGTAGGCTAGCACCTATCTTGAATACAGAAGTTTCCCAGGTTCACAGCCTGGCACCTCCATGTGGGACTGAGGAAGTCCCCTATCTGAAAACATGGAGAGCCACTGCAGTATGCTTCATGGTTGAGATCCCAGCTTGCCCGGTGTTTGAAATATATTATAGGAAGTGGGGAGATATGATCCTACCTAAAAGCTGAGGCTTTTGACCAAATGATTATTACACCAAAGATACTACCCCTTAGTCATCACTGCCTCAGTTACCATGAGTACTACTTGCACTAACTGCACATCAAATGTGCCTAGGAGTGCATGCCCCCCCCCAAAAAAACCCCTCTTGAGAATTGCTTGCTAAGAATTAGGCAACAAGATTGAGATCAGTTGTGCAATTGATCACTAATCTGCTTGCCAGAGGCAAAAAGCAAATGCTTTTGGGAGGGAAGCCAGGAGACAAACTACCCCCCCCCCCCCACACACATCCAGCAAACTACACACATTGTCACAGATAAAGTTGTATGCTCTGATCATAGGCTTCCTTTGTGCATACTGGAGAAGAGGACAAGCAGGGTAGGATGTGAGTGACTCTTTCCAGACTAATTATTTACAAAGCTAATTAAGATAAATGTTTTAAAATGTATTTTAAAAAGTTTTGAAAAATACATTGAATTTTGCATAGCTCACTGTCGACATCTAGTGTCACATTTGTATATTGCACTTTACAACACATTTAAAATATTTTATTTGCATCTGTATAGCTGAGTCCATAGAATGGCTCCTGAGCTGTCCGTTCTTGAGCATAGCATAAAATGGGGTTTTCTTGCCTTATTTTCACAAGATGAACCTTTGGTATGAATTTTTGTTTGCAATGGTTTGACCCCTTTCCATTTTAACAGTACAAATTCTACAAACACCTTCCATATTGCCTCCTATATATTTCCCATCTTACCTTAATGGCACATGTTAATTTATCGTTAATAGCTACAGGTGAAACTCGAAAAATTAGAATATCATGGAAAAGTTCCTTAATTTCAGTAATTCAACTTAAAAGGTGAAACTAATATATGAGATAGACTCGTGACATGCTAAGCGAGATATGTCAAGCCTTGATTTATCATTGTGATGATCATGGCGTACAGCTGATGAAAAACCCCAATTAACAATCTTAGAAAATTAGAATATTCAAGGAAATCAGCAAAACAAGGATTGCAAATCGAGCAAGATTGGACCTCTGAGAAGTAGAAACACATCTCGCTTTGCATGTCATGAGTCGATCTCATATATTAGTTTCACCTTTTAAGTTGAATTCCTGAAATAAATGAACTTTTCCACGATATTCTGATTTTTCAAGTTTCACCTGTATATCCCACACCTCTTTATACCATTCTTCCATTTTATATTCTGCTTGCCCCTTCCACTTCCATGTTTCTCCCATATTTTCCCCCAATTTTGAGTATTTATCTGCCCTGTTGTCTCCTTTTCCCACACCTCTTTTAATTGATCTTGTTGATCCTCCATGTCTGCTAATATTTTATAAATTTCACTGGTTTCCCCTATTTATAACTATATTTTCTTCTTTATCTCCATTTTTTATAATTTTTTATAGTTTTGTATATCCTTTGCAGTTCTTGTTTTCCCTTAAGCACTTCTTTGTCCATTGCTCCAGTTGTATACAGTTAAACCAAATTATTTTACTTCCTGTTAGAGCTTCTCTTATTTGTTCTCATTTTCTCCACCCACTTCTTTATTTTAAGTATTTTTTGTTCCTTTTTTATTAAGAAAAAATCATTTTCAGATAAATAAATAAATAAATAAATAAAGAAGAAAAGAAATAAAGTTACATCAAAACATCATAAAAAATTCCATATATTGAGTTTACTCTGTATCTCCTGACTTCCCCCCATCCCATCCATGGGTCCTATTACTTCTATTTTCAACTGCATATCAGTACTACTCCAATTTTTCATATTTCTAAATTATCTATACTTTCTGTTGTATTACAAGTGTATTTAAAATCCTGCTAATGTTGATTTTGTGTACAGTATATATATATATATATATATATATATATATATATATATATAATAAACATTTCCCATTCTTTTTTGAATTTCTTGTCTTCTTGGTTCCTGAGCTTCCCAGTTGATTTTGCCATTTCGGCATAGTCCATCAACTTGATTTGCCATTCTTCTTTAGTCATGGTTGTGTCTTCCTTCCACCTCTGAGCTAACAACATCCAGGCGGCCATTGCAGTATACATGAACAGTTTCTTCTGATGTGTTGGGATATGGGTACCTATAATTCCTAAGACTTCTAGTTTTTTCAAAGATTATTTTAAACATTTTTTTCATTTCATTGTATATCATTTCCCAGATTTTTAAAATTACATTGCAATTCCACCACATATGATAAAAGGTATCTTCTTTTTCTTTACATTTCCAGCATATATTGTGGTTGTTCTATACATTTTTGCTAATTTTATTGGGGTTAAGTACCACGATACATCCTTTTCATATACTGTAGTTTTCTTTCAGTGAATAATATGCTGTAAATTTCAGATCTGTTTTCCATAGCCTCTCCCAATCTGTCATTTGTACAGCCATACCTCGGGTTAAAGACGCTTCGGTTTAAATATTTTCAGGTTGCGCCTTGCGGCGACCCGGAAGTACCGGAAAGGGTTACTTCTGGGTTTCACCGCTCGCGCATGTGCAGACTCTCAAAATGACATCATGTGCAGAAGCAGCGAATCGAGGCACGCGCAGAGGCAGGTTGCGTTCTGCTCAGGTTGCTAACGGGGCTCCAGAATGGATCGCAACTGTATATTATGTCCCACATCCTTTGTTCATTGTATCATCACAGATTTAACCTGTTCATCTTTTGTATCCCATTCCAGGAGCAAATTATACATTTTTGACAGTAATTTAAAGTTATTTTCTAAAATCTCTCTTTGAAATCTTAATAATAACTAAAACCAGTATTTTTATCCATTTTTTAAAAAGTAATTTAATTGATGGTATTGTAGCCAATCTGTTACCAGGTCTCTCACCTCTTCAAAGTCTTTTAATTTTACCTGGTTTTCTACCTCAGGTAACAGCTCTTTGTATGTTAGCCAGTTAGTCCTGATAGTCACTTTCTTTACAGATAGTGTTTCTAATGGGGAAAGCCACCATGGTGTTTTTTGTTCTAATAAGTTTTTATACTTCTCTCATACTTTAAAAAATGGTTTTCTTATTATATAATTCTGAAAGCCTTTGTGTGCTTTCACTTTGTCATACCATAAATATGCATGCCATGCAAATCTATTGTCATGTCCTCCTAAATCTAACACATCTCCATTGTTCAATAATATCCATTCCCAGATCCAGCAGATGCAAGATGCCACATAATATAATCTCAAATCCGGCAGGGCGAAACCTCCTCTCTCTCTCGTATCTGATAATAATTTATATTTTATTCTTGGTTTCTTCCCTTGCCAGATAAATCTAGAAATATCTTCTTGCCATTCTTTGATGCATCCAGCACTGCTTATCACCAGGATTGATTGAAATAGAAATAATATTCTTGATTTTTGTGTTGATGGTGCTGCTTATGAGGCTGAGAGGAGGAGGAGAGAGTTGTTTTATTGTGACTGGTTTTATATTTGGAGGCAATGAACCAAAGTGAAATCTACAGCTTGGTGATCCAAAGAGGCAACATCGTTGGCTAATAGAATACAGTACAAACTATTCCTGCTATAAAGATGGTGACATGGCTATTAGCTGTAATTAAAGAAAGAAAAACAGATCTAAGTGAGCCAGGATGAAATGTAAACTATCAAGTGTTTGCTATGTTAACAAAGCAGATAGGTTCAATTCTTCACATGTGTGAACAGAGACATAATCTTTTCTAATGCATTTGAAAAACAAAAACTCTGAGATCAATACTTTTGTTCTCAGATTCCAAATTTCGCCTTCAGGGACTTATTCAGGATTCTCTTTTGGAGTTAATGGGATTTGTGTCACCTGTATCTGAAGGCAGGGTTTGAATTTAAACACCCCAAGTGACTCTACTTTGAGTAGGCACACATGTATATTGCTGTACACCTGACCAATCTCACTGAAATCAATAACACTTTACAGGTAGTTTAGAATAAATTAAGCCACTGAAGTGCATGTAGTTGGGTTGGGAAGGCTAATAACTCCTTCGGTCCCTACAAAAGTGCCTGTATTTAGTTGCTCTTTCCCAAAAGTCATGTGTTTTTAGAATAGAAGCATATTAACAGCAGTACTGTAGCATGTTGCCCACAGCTTTTTTGCAGTTACCCACATCCTTGGGGCTGTAAAAAGGCCAGATTAGAAGAAACCTCTGTCATCTTTAACACACACCCCTTCTTCCAAGTTGAGAGATGCATCATTGCAGATGTGCACAGTGTCCCATACAACAGCACAGCCTTTGCCAACCTGGAGCCCTCCTGGATGTTTCGCTGGCTGGGGCTGATGGGAGTTGTAGTCTAAAACATCTGGAGGGCATCACATTGGTGAAGGCTCCTATTAGCAGATCAACCTAAGGGATAGGCTGAGAAAATACACAACTTCTGACCACGTAATAATTACTTCCTAACATGCAGATTAGTGCTTTAAGCAAGAGAAGGATGGGTAGAGGATTCCAGCATAACCAGAGGTCTTTGGTTTTTATCCAAAGGACTGCTGCCAGACTGTAAATACATAAAGTCAACAAGTGCCAATTTCCATTATCATTGTAGGCCTTCTTGCAGCCAAAACCAGGGCAGGCCTAATACTTTTGGGCACCTATAGCAAAGCACAAAATAGTGTTCATTCCCCACCAGGAAATAAGAGGGAGGGTGAAGACCAGCAGCTTCTCCTATTTACCAAGAGGCTGCGGAGGGGTGGGGGGCAGCTGCAAAAGAAATGGCAGATTTGAACTCCAAGGAACATGCTGCAGCTGTCAGTGCCATCACAGCAGTGGGCAATGCATTAATGCATTCTTGGAGGCCAAATCTGCTGCCCCTGTGGATCCTGCCACCAGAGATCGTTGCCTCACCTTGCCTCATGGGTGGGCCAGCCCTAGACAAAATGACTACAGCAATTGCTGCTGACCACCGTTTTTGGCCTGGTTCACATTTTCGACACTGCAGTTTATCAAACAACTGGGACAGGTCCAAGGAAGGCAACCAATGATGGTGAGGAGCCGGGAGGCCAAGCCCTATGAGGAAATATTGAAAGGTTTGGATATGTTTAGCATGCAGAAAAGGTGATTAAGAAGTAATGAAAGAGCTATTGTGGCTAGTAGTCATGTTTCACCTCTACTGTCAGACACAGTATGCCTCTGAATGCAAGTTGCTGCAAGTCACAAGCGGTGAGATCGTTGTACTTTGGGAATAGGAATCTGGACTAGATGGACTGTTAGCCTGATCCAGCAGCCAAACTCTTCTGATGCCATTGAATAGTCAAAGGACTGACAACGGAGCAAACTTGTTTTCTCTTCTTCAAGTGGGAAGGACCTGAACCAATGAGGTCAAATGCTAAGGAAGAGAATTAGGAAATCCTTCCTGATGGCATGATAGTATTGAGCAGTGAAACAGACCTGCCTCAGCAAGCTATGTACTTGATGGCTGTGTACTACCCCCAGTGTCAGAGGTGGTATGCCTCTGAATGCCAGTTTCTGTAAATCATGTGGGTTGTGCTCAGGTCCTGCTTGCCGGTTTCCCATTGGAGCATCTGGTTGGCAACCACGTGAATGGGTTGCTGGACTAGATAGGCAAGTGGTCTAATCCAGTGTTCCCCAACCTTGGGCCTCCAGCTGTTTTTGGACTACAACTCCCATCATCCCTCGCTAGCAAGACCAGTGGAACACTGGTCTAATCCACCAGAGCTCTTCTAATATTTAAGTGGTGGACTCTCCCTTGGAGGTTTTTAAGCAGTAACTGAGATGGTCACTTATTGGGTGTGCTTTAATAGTGGCTTTTCAGTATAAACAGGGGGCTGGAGTAGATTGCCTTTGAGGTTCCTTGCATCTCCATGTTTGGCAGTAAGCAGAACCTAATGATGATGGGAGAATATGGTATAAGGGTCTCAAGTGTAGAGTCCTAGCATGTGGTTCAGGATAGTACCTTTTGCGTTTACTTTAAGAATTTGTGCAATCCAGTACCTTTTTATGGGACACTTTTTTCTGTTAAAATACACACAGAGAATGATAATGATGACTTTTATTCATCCCCTTTGCTGTTTAAAGACTGAAATGTTTTCAGTTCTTCTAATTTCTTACTTAAGGCCTATTGATTTTTTTCCCCTCCCAGGGTTCTTCTGGGATGGGAGACCTTGTGGAATTGTGTCTCATGCAAATTGTATCAGAGCTGCCTGCAAATTGTGGTGAGCAGGCAGAATAAATGTAACTTTGCCATATTAATAACTAGGCAAAAGACTTATTTAAGCTCATGTTCCTAGTGAAATATTTATGTAGCATATTTGAATGCTGAAGAGTGGACATCAGGACATCAGGAAAACAGCAACCATCTCATCACCATCAAATTCAGGACCAGGATGCAATTGCGAATCAAAAGGCCTGGTCTGAGATGGCAGAGCAGACCAGCTCTTCACACTGCTGTTGGAAGTTCCCATTCTTGAATGCTCCCCTTGTGACTTTACTGTTATTATTTATTAAATTTGTATACCGCCCTATACCCATAGGTCCATAGGGTGATTCACAACATAAAATTACAGTCTAAAAAAAAATACAAAATATACCTAATAAAATCAAGAGCAAATTCAATCCAATAATCACCCCTTCCACAACACATTTAAAAGGGCATGCCACAGGAGCTTCCTTGTCCTGATGCCCAACATATTGGTGAAATCAAAATAACAGACCACACTCCAGTGAACCCACAGTTCCTATTAATTGCATCAGAAAATGTACTAAAGTTCTAAAATTGGATATTTTAGTACTGTCCTAAATCAAACAGTAGAACAAAAAAGACACTGGATTTTTTTTTAAAGGAGAATACAGAAGGAGTAAGTTAAGGATTGCTGCAAGAAACAATGAAGGCAGTGTTTAGAGCATAGAGGCATATGTATTCAAGAAAAATCAATACTGAATAAAATTCACACAAAAGAGGCAATTAGAACAGGAAGTCTTCCCTGGAAGAACAAAGGCACAGGGCAACAAGTTCAAAACAAGTTAATAAACAATTACAAATTACGGTAAGCAAAAAGAACTAGAAGCAATAGATAAAACAATGATACAATTACTACATTTAAAACAAAAATATTATGAATATGGGGTCAGGGATCCAAACTTTTAACTGCCAGGTTCCAAAATGGGAAACAAAGCAATAATTACAGGTATAGAAAAGCTAGTAGAAAGGGTTTATAGTACAAAATTAATACGTGCAGAATTTTGAACGTTTTTCTTCTCTTTGTTTTACTTCTCCCCCTCTCGAAATGAATGTGGTAAAGACAAAGCTAATGATCACTTTGTCTTTCTTAGACAGCTTCGCTGTCATTGTTGGACCATCCTCTGCTTGTTGCTTTGAAGTTTGCAGCTGATCAGTAAGTGCCTCAGCCCGGTGGCATTATGTCCTTCGCTGGTGTCCAGAGTGTGTACGCACCAGGCAAGACCAGAGACTGGGTGTAGAGCATAAACAAAACCTGCTGTGCCAGCCCAACCCTTGGTGCTGGGCAGGTACGGGGCATAGAGGTTTCACGAGGCTGCACTGCACCGTGCTGCCTGCTTGCTTGCCTGTGCAGGGGGGAGCCCAGCCAGCCAACGCAGCCCTTAGTGGGCACATCCCCCCAACTCTGGCCAGGCAGCCATTCAGCAGCGGGGGGGGGGGGGGGGAACAGGGGCAAAGCAAAGCTAGGCTGGGCTCCAGGGATAAGAGACCCCTGGTGGCAGGCAGGGCAAGTTTCCCAGCATGGGGGTGCCTGGCTTGCCCCCTCAAAATCATGTACCTGGGGCAACACACACCCGGTCCTCCCCACACTACACTCCTACCTCAGACAGCTTTTGGCTAAGTTCCAAAGGGATGAGATAACTGAAGATGGACAAACATACAGGAGAAACATAAGAGAGATTCAACTGATTCCAAAACAGGACAGAGTTGGCTGCAGATGCAACAACATGAGCTTGATGGTAATCAAAGGCATCAGGCAGCAGACGTGGACAGAAGTGACCAAAGGAAAGCAGCGGAAATGCAAACTATTCCTTGTATAACTACAAGGCTGAGAAAGCCAATAGAGAGGCTAATAGAGAACTGTTGATTCATTACCACTAAGGTAATGAAAGTAGGAAATAAAATAAATTGTGGAATCAAAGCAATAACCAGGAAGGTAAAGGGACCCCTGACCCTTAAGTCCAGTCGTGGACAGTTCTGGGGTTGCGGCACTCATCTCACTTTACTGGCCGAGGGAGCCGGCGTACAGCTTCCGGGTCATGTGGCCAGCATCACTAAGCCACTTCTGGCAAACCAGAGCAGCACACGGAAATGCCGTTTACCTTCCCGCCAGAGCGGTACCTATTTATCTACTTGCACTTGGACGTGCTTTCGAACTGCTAGCTCAGCAGGAGCAGGGACCGAGCAATGAGAGCTCATCCCATCGCGGGGATTCGAACCACCGACCTAGGCTCTGTGGGTTAACCCACAGCACCACCCGCGTCCTAAAGAGGTGTTTATGCCAGAGCATTTCACTTCCCTGTATTAGCAGCATTTTTCCTGGAAAGCTTCTCAGTTCGCTTTAATGAAAGAGATATCCTTTCTGTTGCATCTGTCAAGGGAGGTGGCTCCCATGGCTAGTTGGAATATATTAGTATTAATACTACTTGTGCCCTTTGGAGGATAGGATCAGGCTCTCCTATTTCTAGCAAACTGAACAGGAAGGCAGATGAAGTTTCAGTGCTGTAGATCATAGCAGCACCTTATTATTCAGACTTTCAAATAATCCATATGGTAGACGAGTGAATTGTTTGTGCATGTTGTCTTTTGCACACAGATTCATCCACACATGTTTAATATTTAAAATATTCCTAAACTACAATATTTGAAATCTGTAGACAAACATTTTTGTGCAGGATAACTTACTTTTCTTTATGTTTACGTGTTATTGACATGGAATTGTTGATGTTACTGAGTCTGGTGTGGGATGCAATCCACAGCCATACTGCAAAATCCCCAAACGAGGAGAATTATTTAAGAGCTTCTTCTGAAGTCTGTCAATTCTACTACACTTTGCATCTTGCAGACTGTAGCCAACACCAGGTGAGAGACCCACAGGTTTGTATTACTTGTTTGTATCCTGAAGCACATCTGTTCTTCCTGTAGAAAGTGGGTGATTCTGCTTCTCAGCTCTGCATTAGCTAATTGATATCTGGCTTGGTGACCTTCCAGCAAGGTCACTGGAATAGCATCTCCAAATACAAAGCACAGGAGCACTACAGGATTCTGAGAAACAATATTATTTAAGTTCCCTCCTTTCCCTTGTGAGACAATTGTCCAGCCTACACGGTCTCCTTCTGATTACAGTCTACTATTTCTGTGTTCTGTTAGAAAGAAAACATTTGAGCGCTAGGAAGAAGGTGGAAATTAGCACCCCTGCCATGTGTGCGCTTGCGTGTGTGCACATGCACATGCATGTGCCTGCATGTGTAAGCAAGTGAGCAAGCCTGAGCTTGTACTAAGGTGCCAAACAAGGCCACCAGTACCGTAATTAATGTTCAAAGCTTCTAAAAGTGGAATTTATAAATAGGGATAATTTGACCTTTTAAAGGTGCATACACATCAGTTTCCCACTTTGCAGAGGACTTGTCCCTCTGCTGGTGCTGAAACACCTCCCCCCCCCCCCCCCAGTGCCTTCTGTTGCTTGTTCAGTCCACATATTTCTGACACTGGCTAATTTAGGTATTCCATCCGAAAGCTGAAGTAAGAGCCCATAAACCTAAACTGTCAGTTTCCAAATGCCAACCACATGTTATGAGCTACATTATGGATATGTCATCAGCACAGATTATTTGCATATCTTTTTAATGCCACTTTAAGAAAAGGTATTCTTAGACTGAATGCTTCATTTCCCCAACACTTTGTAAATGCCTGCAGTTAAACTCCAAGGGGGTGGCTTTGCAAGGAGAGTGCCTTCCTGCTCAGCATAGTGAACCATGGAATTGTGATACAGACTGCTCAAAGAATACTAAAAATGCTTCTGATTGAAACTAAATTAGGAGGGTGGGAGCATGGGCGTAGCCAAGGAGGGGTAGCTCCCCCCCCCAAAAAAATAAATAAAAATACATAGCTGCTGCGGTTCTAAACCCCCCCCCCCCAAGTCCGGCCCCCTAACAAAAATCCTGGCTATGCCCATGGGTGGGAGAGCTCAAACAGCGAGAATCCAATGATCTTGAGCAGGGTCCCAGCAGGGCCCCCCATTTCCTAGGACATGGATGTCAGTGCTGGCACAGACACATTCTAAATACACACCTTGCTTGCTGTGCTTGCACTGTTCTTTAAAACCAAAAAGCAAGGGTGTATGTGTGCTGCTTATTGGATCAACGTCTTAGCTTGCTAAGCCATGAAGTTCACCTGCTGTGCCTTTTAACTTTTGTCTGTGTGCCATACTGATCTGAACATTAAAGATTTGGGCAGAAGCAGTAATCCATGTTTTGAGTTCTTCATCCTGTGAGAGCAGGCATATACCTACACTAGGGGCTGCTGCCCCTGCTTAGCACCAACCCCTTTGTCGTCCCCCCACTAGACCAACCCCCTTCCCTTTACAGCTCACCCACCACAAAGCTTGCCTCCTCTCTCATGCCTACACTCTTTTTAAACAGCTTGCCTGAGCCTGCCTGCCATTCCTCATGCGGCACCATAGTTTGGACAATACACTAAACCAGGCATAGGCAAACTCGGCCCTCCAGATGTTTTGAGACGACAGTTCCCATCATCCCTGACCACTGGGCCTGTTAGCTAGGGATGATGGGAGTTGTAGTCCCAAAACATCTGGAGGGTCGAGTTTGCCTATGCCTGCCCTAAACTGTGACTAATTGAGAAGTGAAATATTTTTATCTCCTCTTCATGGCCACAAGTACATCACAAACATGAGCAGGGAGGAAGCATGCCAGGATGAGAAAAGATACAAATACTGTGCAGTGGAACCTCTACTCATGTACGGAATCTGTTCTGGAGGTCCGTTCATGAGTCGATCCGGGTCGCTGGTAGAAGCACTGTTCTGTGTGTGCGCATTTGGCAGCGGCACCGTTCTGCATGTGCAGACGGCAGAAGTCACTTCTGCATGTGCCCGAATCGCGGCAAACCCGGTATTTACTTGTGGGTTTGCTGCGGTTGCGAGTCGAATTGTTCGCGAGTAGGGGCAGTGGTAAGTCGAGGTTCTACTGCACTGTCAACTCCATGGACTTGTAGCAATTAGAGCCAAGCAGTGTTGATGAAACCAGAAGTGACTGGCAGCAACTATGTAGTTCACAACTACTGTATCTATTTTAGGTACAATTACAGCAGCGAGCAGTATTTTCACAGTACCTTTCCTTCATCTTAGGAACATAGGAAGCTCAATATTGTGCCCCCCTGGGACTGGCAGCAGCTGTGCAGGATTCCAGGGGGCAGCCTTTGTCAGCCCTCCCCAGAAACACCTGGGAATCAATCTGGGACGCTATGCATGCAAAGCACTGTCAGAGATTTTCCGTCCTCCCCATGAGTCCGGGTGGACCACATGGGCCTGGTATGAACCTCCTTAATCTACTATGGGTACATTTCTGCAGAGACCAAAACAAAGCAGAACAAAACACCTTTCAGCCAGGACATAAAAAGATTGAAACAGGATTTCCTCTTGCAAAAAATTGTGTGTGTGTAAGTGTGAGAGAGATGCTGGGCCTTCAGGTGTGTTGTTGCACCTGGAGCTGTGCTTTGAGGATAATTCCAGTGAGCATGAAGGGCTTGCTGGTCTTCTGAGGCTGTTTCTCCTGGTCTCTCAGCAGTGAGCACAAAGTGGGTGAAATTGTTGCAAGTAGCATAGGCGGGAGGAGGGGGAACATATGCACTGCACTGGATGAAAGAAAAGCTAAAAATCTCTCAAGTCTGTGTTTGTTGGCAAGGAAAGGATAGGTATAAAAAGCAAATTCCCTGGATGCCAAGATCTGAGTTTGGAGTAAGTACTCTCTGGTGAGAACCTCAGGAAAACCTCAGATTTAATATTGCAAAAAAAGCATCAAGGTAAAGTATGGAAATATAGGAGATTAGACCTTTAAAATATGCTCTTGTGAGTTCCAAAAACTTCCATTTTCCCCTAGCGTCGAAAGCTAAATATGGTTTACTTACACAGGTCAGATTTATGTGCTTTTCCATACAGCAGAAAACAGGCAGTTCCTAAATTATTAGTTCAGGAATACAAGAAAGGTCGACAGGTAAAACAATAGGCTTGATTACCTTCCTCCCAAGGTGAGAGAGAGTGACTTAACTAATGCCTGGCAGGATAGTTTATGGAATTAATCCCTTCATGCATTAATTGAACTTAAGCAAGATTATCCCATGTTTGTTAAGCAAAAAGGGGTGCTGCATTTTAAATTTATAGGAAGATGTTACGGGAAAGTTTGTTTATTGAGCAGGTTGAGTCACCGAGTGTTTTTTTTTCTGCCTGCCAGCAAACAATTAACTAGCAACTGCTCCTGATTGGCCAGAGTTCCAAGGGCGGCAGATGGAGTGGAGTGAGAGATTGTGTGAGAGATTCATTTGGTCTGTGAGGGGGATTCACTCAGGAGGGTTCATTCTGACAGGTGGTAGAGCTGAGGAGAGCCGAGAACTCTCAGTATATGCTCCTAGGTTGTGAATCACAGAACACTATTAAAATAGACAAGACACAGTTCCACACAGTGTTTTACAGGAAAAAGGGTCCTCAGAGGAAAGGGCAGTAGTGATTCCGAAGCCAGGGAGGATTTGGGGGTCTGTAAGGAAACAGTCCAAGGGACACGGGTGGCGCTGTGGGTTAAACCACGGAGCCTAAGACTTGCCGATCAGAAGGTCGGCGGTTTGAATCCCCGCGATGGGGTGAGCTCCCGTTGCTCGGTCCCTGCTCCTGCCAACCTAGCAGTTCGGAAGCACGTCAAAGTGCAAGTAGATAAATAGGTACCACACTGGCGGGAAGGTAAACGGCGTTTCTGGGCACTGCTCTGGTTCGCCAGAAGCGGCTTAGTCCTGCTGGCCACATGACCCGGAAGCTGTACACCAGCTCCCTCGGCCAATAAAGTGAGATGAGCGCCGCAACCCCAGAGTTGGCCACGACTGGACCTCTAATGGTCAGGGGTCCCTTTACCTTTACCTTTAAGGAAACAGTCCAGTTAAAATCCTACATTCCTGAAGTGTGAGTGGAGAAGTCTGATCTATGAAAGATGTGTAAAAGGAAGTAACCTTAAGCCTGAACAGTATACAGCCTATAACTTGAGACAGAACACCTTTAATAAAAAAGCAACACCACTCTTTGTTACATTTCTGTGGAAGAAGAAGAACCGAAACAACTTTATCTGTTTATTATCTGTTATAATAAAGTTTATTTGCAACCTGTTTTCCCAACAGAAAAACCCACTGTCGCTCGTGATTCATTCTCCATTGGGGATTTCACTTGAGGGAAAGGGAAACAGACGACTGGTTTAGTGGTGCCAGGGAGAGAGAGGGCCGTTGCGCCATTGCATGAGACATTGCACCTGGAGATTTCAATTGAGAATTGGCGCTGTCTCCTCTAAAATCCAAGGAACAAAGTAAAAACTGTAGCTATATAACTGCTGGTGGGAGTAGGATTCGAAAAAGACATATTAATTGAAATAGACTTGCAGCCAAGTCTTCCATTATATATTATCCATATTTTGTATTGTTTATTCCTTCATATGTATATCATTTGAACATAATAAATGGTATAAACAGGGTGGCCTCGTTCGTACACGTTGTAGATTGCACTTTATCTTCGGGTCGGTTTGCATCACCTTGACGCTAAGCTGCTGGTTGGATCCAGGGATTAGAAGGGTCTCGGCATATAGCCCAGCACCCCCTCAAACTTAAAACAATATATTTAAATTGCATTTAATAATGTTTTAGAATGTAGGTATTAAAATACAGTTTATTTTCTCTTAGAACAATGCATACAGTCATACTTTGACAGTTTTTTAAAAAAGAATGTGCAAAAGCCCCTAAATGCTCTACATAGACCTCAGTAACATGGAGGACAGCTATCAGTACTCCTCCGATTGATCTCAGTCCTTGATCTGGGATATAAGGGCTTGGGTGGCACTTAAGGTGTCGTAAAGCCAAGATGTTCAGGGCTCTATATATTATTATGAAAGCTTTGAACTTAATCCTTTAGCATAAGGGCAACCAGTGCAGATGTTTTAACAGAGGTGTCACATGTTATCAGCTCTCTGCCCTATCACCAGTCATGACATTCTACATTGGCATCTCTTGTGGGAGCAAATTCCAGAGTTTAATCATGTGTTATAGGATTAAGTACTTTATTTATTTATTTTAAAAATATTTATTGATTGATTTTCACATTTTTATACATTTAATCTCTTTCCAATTCATATATAAAGTTACAAGGTTCTATGAACCTTTTGACTTCCTGGGTTCTTATATTATAAGATAATTTTTTGCATCTTATACTTTTCCCAACGTTACATATCTCTAATTTATCATAGTCAATTTCACATTACAAATGTCATTACAATGCTAACAATGATTTTAACTGTTTACAATGGTTTATTAAATAAACTACAAATTTACTCCAGTGTCTAACAAATACTTGATCTTCTTGGTTTCTGATCTTCCCCATCAGTTTTGCCATTTCTGCATATTCCATCTGCCATTCTTCCTTTAATGGCAATGTTTATTCCTTCCATTTTTGGGCTAGTAACATTCTTGCTGCCACTGTTGCATACATAAAAAGTCTTTTGCCTTCTCTTGGTATTTCTACACCTATTAAACCTAAAAGAAAGGTTTCTGGTTTTTAAACAAATGTATTTTTAAACATTTTCTTTAATTTATTATAAATCATTTCCCAGAAGTCTTGCACCTTACAACATGACCACCACATATGGTAAAAAGTACCCCCCCTACATTTCCAACACCATAGATCAGCATGGTATAGATCAGAGCTTTCCAAACTGTGTGCCACGACACGTTAATGGTCAGCTGCAGTGTGTAGGTGTGTTGCGCGAACGCTCCCCACACTAGTAAAACAGAATTACTGTGTCATAAAATGATGCAAAACTGAATTTGTTGAGAAATGATGTCAAAAAAAGTCACCAACATGAAAACCTCTGGTGTATATACCGTAGTTCTGGTGTATATAGAACAAGATCAGAGTTAAATGCTTTAATGTTGCAAGGTGGGGGTAGTAGATAACAACCTGGCAATTGCACTTTGCATCAGTTGTTCCTATTCTCCTTCGAAATAAGTCTGCATCGAATTCACCAGGGCAATCATCATAGGTGCTATGTCCTCCTTTCATAGGAAAGGCCACAACTGGTGAACCAGTCCTGTGTTTTACTTCACTTCTACTGCTTGTACCTCTAAGGTAAGGGCCAGGCCAAGTAGTAGCACCAAACAGTGCATCTGCTGCTTAAGAGAACTACAATCCCATTCAAGGATGAATAAAACATTCTCCTCCTCCATCCTTCCCCAGGGTTTCCCTCTTATCTGAATCAAGTTCCCTTTTGTACACCCTATTCCTGAACAACTGAGACACCAGCTTCAATTCTCTCTAGGATCAGAAGATGGAAAGAAGAGGTGAGGTTGGGTGGACTCACCCAAGCAGAGGCAAGGATACCCTGGACAGCTTCATACAGGGCTCACATGTTGCTTCCACAGTCTCAGTCTAATACCACAAAGAGGTAAGCTTTAGCTCTATTTCCGTTGTAGCTCTGCTTTTGCTAAGAGAAGCCTACTTTGGCAGCTGTTGACTTCAGTGAAGTGGGGGAGGCTGTGTTTGCTTTAGGGCTGGAGTCCTCTGAATCAGAGGAGGAAAATGCAACATTATTGGGCCAGAGCGATCCTGGCTCCTTGGTTTCCTTCTTGCAAAAGTGCTTTCAGTTAGTTAGGTGCCTCTGGAACCCACCCCCCTCAGAGCAATTTCCTTTCAACTCTTCGATTCTATGTCTCCAGCATCCTGTTCTCCGCAGTGGCCAGCTAGATGTGTCTCAGTATAGCCCTCTATTGATGCTTCAGGCTGCCACCACTCCAACATGACATGGTGCCTCTGATTCGGAAGGGAGCATATAGTTGTTATGACTAGTAGCTACAGATCTCTTTAAAAGTGTATTGGACAAATTCATGAAGAATACGGCTGTCCAAGTTCGTGACCATTGCCACATCTTATGGGAGAGAATTCCATATTTAAACTATGTGGAGGATTTCCTTCTGCCTGTCATGAATCTTCCAACATTCAGATTCATAGGATCACCTCCATTATGCTCTAATATTATGTAAGAGGGAGAAAAATGTTTCTCCTTCCACTTTCTCCATGATTGTGTGCACCTCTGCAAAGTCCCCTCCTTTCATTTACCTCAGGGAAATGTTCTTTCGAACATTAGTTGCCCTTTTCTGAACCTTTTCCAGTGCTACAATATCATTTTAGAGGTGAGGCTCAATTATTTCATTAAGACTGGCACAGTATCTGGAATGGGTGGTGCCATTTTTATACGCCTTTTTGTAGAGGAGGAGCTTCATTAGCGAGCAAAATTCCTGCAGACTGAGAATTGTAGCTCATATAGTGTGATTACCTTCCTGGCTTTTCTTTGTTGCATCTGTCTCATTCTTGGGGTTAATGGAACCTCTTGCATGTGTTTTAACCTCTGCACAATTTTTCTAAAGAGATATTGCAAGGCTTCAGAAAGTGGAACGCTCTGTTTGTGCACAGTGGACTGTCCTGTGATCTTTATGCTGTCTCTATGCAAATCTATTACACTGAAAGGCAATTTGGCTTGACCAGCTACAAATCCCCTGGGATCTGTCTTGATGTCACCCAAAGAGGGGTGGCTGGGAGAGATGTCTATTTCGTGATATCCCTGGTGCTGCTCTCTGGCTAGACTTGGCAGCCCAAGCAATTTGCTTTTAATTGATGAAAGGGTCTTGTTATGCTGCTGCCGCTGAGAAAATGCCTGGGGTGTGTGGTGACAACCCATGGGTGAGAAGGATCATGCTGGCAGAAAGCAAAATGTGTGACACCGCCTTGAACCACAATGATAATTACTTGATCTGATCCTGTTTATTCTGCTAGATTGCAAAGTAAGTAATAGAATGAACAGGCATCTAAGCCTGAATCTGTAACCTGCTTATAAATATGTATAGTAATTAGAACTCGAGTTCTTGAGAGTCACCTTGAGGACTTAGAATAAGCATGCAGGTGCTTTTCTTGGAAATGTAAATGTCACTGCAGCATCTCACCTGTGCCCCCAAGTGGTGGTTTGCTATTACTGCCTGTTGGCATAGCCTCTGCCTGGCCGCTGAGCCACTGCATTAATCAGGAAGCAGATGCTGCTACTGTTTCTGGAAGAGAATGTCGCTGCTCCTAAAGAAAAATGAATCCTTTTTGGAAAATGAGAAATGAGCCTTCAGAGGTTTTTCTGCTGGGGCAAGTGGTCCAGCACAGAGACTTTGAAGACATAATATTCTGGCTTGAGTTTTTTATTTATCATTAAAAATTGCTTGTGGAAGAAACAAGAGAGAGGGATGCAAGGCAGAGAAGAGTCTGGTGGTGGCTGTGTACACATCACTGGCTTAAAATGCAGCTAGGTCATTCTTTTTCTCGACTGAAGCTGCTGGGTTGCTGGGGTTGGGGTGCTCATAAAAATCCAGTGTTTCCTTAGGATCGCCAGAAAAAGGAATCCTCACCCTGATCTACACAAATGGACTGAGGAGGATGTGTTCTCAAGCACAGGCAACTGGGAAGCCGCTCTGTGTTTATTTGCCGGAAGCCAGTGTGAAAACGTGACTGTACTTGCACTGAAATAGGTCTTTCCAGTCCTTGACCCAGACTGAGCGTGAAATATTTAACACTTGAGTGTGAAACTCGCTGTCTACTTTGAGCTGCTGGCTCCCACTGCCTGTTTCTTTGCTTCTGAGCTCATAAAACATTCCGGTGATTCATTCCCTCTGTGTCACATCTGACAAGAGAACTCTGATTCTCCATCACTGTTGGTATCAGTGTTGATTTCTTAAAAGAACGTACAAACAAGCCAGACAGTCATCTTTAATTCTGCTTAGTTCTAGTGTCTACCTCACCTCCAGGAAGGAGCTATTACTTCACAGTTACTACTGTAGCTTATTACTGCAGGGTAAAAAAACCTCTTGTCCCTGCTTAGCACAGGCTGCTTCAGCTGCAAGTCTGCCCTACATGTGGGGGCCCTACATGTGCCCTTCTAATGTACCATGTGGTCTGATTATCAGTAATATTCTTGAAACGTGCTAAGCTTGGGCCAGGTAAATGCTTCTGGTTTTTATTTTTAAAAGCCATTTGCACAATATCTAGGTTAGAATGACACAACTGCGGCTAGAAAGATAATGTTGCAGCCTGGCATGCTCCTGTTCAGTATTTCAGCCATTCAGCCGTGCTCTCTTCTGAATATTCTACATATTACATTTCTCATGGGTTTTCCAGTTTTCCAACAGTCATCCAGCATCACATGGTCACTGGGCGTGGAGGATGTGGAGGATGGTCAGAGGCTGAGAAGGAATGGGAGGAGATTGGGAACTTCCGGAGGTGGCGCCATCGGCGATGGCGGATTCCCTCTAGTCTTGAGGGAGTAGCTCCGCGGAAATCGGGTCTTGCCGCTACGGCGAAGCGGGGACCCTTTTGAAAACCACAGGCGGGTGAAGCCTGTGACCATGGGACTCGGCGGGCACCCTTAGCACCCCCCCCCCAATTTGCGAGGGAACCCTGAAAAGAGTTCCGGAGCGAAACGGGGAGTCTGGCGCGGTGCTGAGAGTCAATTGCTTCTTCCGTGGAGTGAAGCCGCGCAGCTGTTGCCGGAGAGCGCTGACCTTTTTCCTGTGACAATTCGGCTATTAAACAACTACCCGTGAGTAGGTCAAGTTTGAAGATCGGGGAATTTAAGGAAAAATTAAGGATTAATTTGGCACTGAAGCGGGAAGGTGTAAACAGGAAGTCCGCCTTCCTTTTCTGTAAATAGATCAAAGCAAAGACTGTCTAAGCTAAGACCCTGAAAATTGCACTGAAAAAGACTCAAATCCTACATCAACAAAAAGAGAAATCCCTCCCTGTGGATAGAACTTTTTTTATGTATGCCACAACAGCAGCAAGAATACTCATCACAAAGTATTGGAAGACACAAGAGCTACCCACCTTGGAAGAATGGCAGATGAAGGTGATGGACTATATGGAAGTGGCGGAAATGACTGGCAGAATCCGAGACCAGGGAGAAGAGTTAATGGAAGAAGACTGGGAAAAGTTTAAAGATTATTTACAGAAATATTGTAAAATTAATGAATGCTAGAATGATGTTGGATAGAAATTAAGTGGTCTTTAGCTGAAATGTCACAAGGGAATATGAAAAAAATGGATTATTAATAGGTAAAAATTTAAAATTACAATACTTTATGATTAATGACTAGGATATACAAAGAGGGGAGGGATTTGCTGAACTAACAAATTGAACTGGAATACAAAAAAGGGAGGCGTGAGGAGGTCCGGGAAATAAGCAAATGAAGGATAAGTAAAGGAAAGAATGAATTGTTTTTAATCTTTTTTATTTTGTATCTTTCTTTTTTCTTTTTTTTTATCTTGTAATACTCTGAAAATCTTAATAAATATCTTATTAAAAAAAAAAGGAATGGGAGGAGATTGGGAGTTGGACGACCCCAGGAAGAGTCCTCGTGGGTTGGGGGTTAGTTTCGCTTGAATGTGGGGCCCCAAGGAGTTCTAACTCACAGTAGGGACTCAACGGGCTGGGAGACATAGATCTTGGGCCTAGCAGGCTTTCAGAAGACTGCTATTTCCCCGTGACACTGGATACCCCAGGCCCAACACCACTGATCATAGCGCCGCCTTTTGTGTTGTTCCTCCTTAGTGAAGAGTCATACCCTTCTGAAAGGCATTGAGAGACAACTCAGATCTAACTGGTTGACCCCTCTCCAAGGACACATCAGCACTGGAATTAAAAAACAACATACAGAGACAGCCATGACAGGTGTAAGCGCCCTGCTCTTCAAAAAATGAGTGCAGAGGGGGCATCAAGTCATGGATAAATGACTTAGCTACAGGTAACAGGTGCCATGTACCACATGTACAACCAATGCTTTCAAAAATTCAAGTCTTAGTAATTGTTATACAAAAAAACTGGGGTTGGCTTTTAGAGCCCATTAAGGGATTCAGTCCCCTGTCCATTATCAGCAGAGAAGAATGCATGGAGCCAAAGCAAGGCAGATCTTTATTTTCCTGTTGCAACACAGTTTCTCCACCCATTGCTAGGATGTGAGGAGACACCAAATCTTAATTTGCGGGCCCAGGATTTGAAGGATTTGTAAGTGAAAGGAGCCATTGGGAGAGGTTTCTCTAAGGTATTTCCTTCTGCAAATGGTTGGGCTTATTAAGAGTCAAAATAGCTTCAATAGCTATGCGTACTTACCTGGGGCACAGTGGACATTTATTTTATTTATGACACCTTAGAATTACTTAGAAACAGTAATGATTCATGTTATGTACTGAAGTCTCACCCTGGGCCAGCAGGGGGATACTGTAGATAGTTATGCAAATGAAGGATCGAAAGTGACGTTCAGTGATTGGATAGTTTGTATGCAAATGAAGGATCAAAAGTGACGTTCAGTGATTGGATAGTTTTAGAAAGTTGCAACAGTTACACTGTTCTGGAGCTCTA